TATTTAAAAAGTTTGTTATAGATAAACTAAAAAATTTTTTCTTTATAAATTATTTTTAAAATTATATATTTTAGATTTATAATTAATATAAAATTTTTTCTTATAATCTAAAAATAAGAAAATTTCTAAGTAAACACGTGTGTATATACACATGTAATACAAATATGTTGATCGTAATATGGTATTGCTTTGCAGGGTTTTAAATTTATACAAATGTATATAATCAATCAATAAATAAGCAAACAAATACAATAATCATCAGTTTCACTTTTCCACTATTAATATAGTAACTGTTCACTTGACCAATGACTTGCAAATTAGTTAAAATAAAGAGATCATGATTAAAAGCACATTTTTATACTTATAGTTTCGTTCAACAAATGCTGCAAGAAAGTTCAGGTCCATTAGTTTATGATGATAATCACAGTTTTTTCCACATAAATAAAGTTATAATTTTTATTACAAAACCTTTGCTTGACTAACTTATATAATCTTATTTAAGAACGATTTTGGCAACAATACACACCTTTCTAATGATATTGAATCTGATGATTTGTTTTCGCTGAAAAAATATAGCAAGAAACTTCAGACCCTTTAATAACTGATAATAGACCAAGTCTTCTTTATGTAAATATAAATAGTGGCCTTTCTTTGTCTTAAGCAGAGAGGTTTTTTTTTCTAATTAGTTTCATGTATATCATTACTGTTATATATGGGGTGCGGACAATAGAAACAGCTCATTTTTACATTTTTTTGAAAATTGAGTTTTTATTAGATTCATATAAATTTTGACATGATTAACATTTTTCAATTATAAATAAAAGTTAATTTGCATAATAAAAAATCAAGATAATGTAAAAAAAAAATTACATGAGGCTTTGTAGAACCAACACATCACAAGATTATCTGATAGTCACCTGCTATCTTTAGCTAATCAAAATCGTGAAATTTAATTAATCCCGAATCAGTCTGAAAATCAAAATAAATAATTAAACTCAATTATCTCAAAATAAGTTAAATATAAAAATAGGCTGTTTCTATTGTCTGCACCCATATATCTGTATAATTTTTCACGTGAGAAGACCGATTTGGATAATGATCGCACCTTTCCAATGATGTCAGTTTACTTTTAGCTGAAGAAATACAACACAAAATTCCAGATCTATTAAATGCAAATAACAGCCTTTCTTTATCACAAGTAAGCAGTCTTATTTGTTTTTAGTTCAATTAATCTTATTGTAATATTGATTTATTTTGCATTGTTACTTTCATAAAGATAATTTAGATAATAATTAGCACCTTTTTGCTGACGATATTGTATCTAATATGGACTTAGAGGAAATCGAGAATCAAAACAATTTATTAAAGTTAGAAGCTGGGCTTGCATTTACAACTTGGTCAGAATTTAAGGCCTGGATTGATAGTTTTGCGAAACAAAAAAGGTTTAGTTATAAAGTCCGAACAAGTAAAAATGATGGTGAAGTAGTACGATGAGTTACATACGAGTTACATATGAGTATTTGAAATCAGGCATACACAACCCGAAAGTGACTTCTGATCCAACTAAATAATGATTCGCATCTTCACAGCGAACACAATATCCTTGACAACTTAATGTTACTTGTCCAAAATCAACAAATATTATCAAAATTAACTCTTTCATTGACAATAGCGATGTTATCCAAACCTGGTAGTTTTGGACATAGTAGAATCTGAAAGGGTTTTTACTAGATTTTTAATTGGATAAAAATCCCATAAAATTGCATAAATGAACAAAAGCATATGTCACGTGATCGCACCATTATCTGCACTACAATTATTTCATAGCAATATGTAGCGTTTTTATTATTAGCTTGGTAAAATACGTATAACCCCAGTTTACGTATGTTTTAAAAAAAAAATATTATACAAATTTGTAAAGAAAAAAAAATAGGAGTGCGACAAAAACCTTCATCGCAACAAAAAAAGAATGCGACAAAAACAACGTCACGACAAAATAATTTTTTTTTTTGCCTGTATCATAAAATTAAAAAGTATGAATGATCATTAAAATAAGTGCCAAATCAAATTTAAAGATTAAATAAAAAAATCATATACATTCGAATAAATTTTATAAAAAATTCGCATTTGCGAATTGAAATTCACTTTCTACAATTGCAGCAGAATCGAAATCCATATTTCCACTCCCTTGTATGTCTATTGTTGTAGATGGTTCTTCTTCATTATCATCTTGATCACCAAAATGCGTATGCGACAAATTAACAACAGACTCTATTTTAAGCTTCTCATGATTTGACAATTGAAAAGACATTAAAACATCTTCATTTTGTTCTAATATGTTAGTATTTTCTATTTCTGCATATGTTGTTTGGTTTAATGCACTTTCACGTAACTCACTCTCTGACAACTCTTTACCATAAAATTTAAGTTCATTTTTAAGATTAGAAATGTAATAAGAATGAATCTTGGCTATACTTTCAAGCCGCTAGGGTGATAGTCGTGAATGGTATATACTGTATAACCACCTTAGAATAGAAAAATTATGTTCGCAGTTCGCTTGTAAAGGCACAACTGCAAAGATAAGCTGTGCAAGGTTTCGAAGATATTTATGTTTGTCTTCAATGACACCCCACCACAAAGCAGGTGGTTTAGAGAAATCATAAGTAAAGTCAAATGGATACTCCCCATTTTTGTAACGAATTAGTTGTAAAGTTAATAGCCGACATGCAGCTTTATCATTATGTGTACTTTGATAGAATTTGACGGCGATCTCACAAATTTGGCGAAATATTCCTCTATGTAAGCCAAGATCTATATATTAAAAAAAAAACAAGTTTTACGTATATATAGAGTTTTTGATTAGAACATGAAACATTAAAGTCATTACCTAATTATTTTTAAACCCAATAATAAATAACTAATCTCGATCAGGTTTTTTTTTTAGTTTTCAAACTTAAACACTATACCTTTATATCCGGGATAGAGAAAATATGCAAGAAGATAGAGCTCAATATCAAATTCAGCATAGTGTTTATTAAATATAGCAATGGCCGAGTCATGAAAATTATTATTAGTAGGAATTTTGTTAATTGCTGCAGCCAACTTTACTATATTAACAAAGCAATCTGCAAGATTCGCTGTACGAGATTCTAAATTATGTATTGCTTCTTTAATGGGCTGAATAACAGATGCAATTTGACGACAATTTGTATAGAATATATCATTATCATCATTCAGTATTGAAATAATTGCTTTTTTACTAATTGCATTTTGATTACTCTCTAAAATCTAAAAAAAATATATATAGTATTATTTGATAATGTCAAAATTCAATTACCGTAGAATGCTGCATATAATACCCGGAATACAGATACGTAGCTAATTTTCTATCCGAGGAAAATCTAAAGCATATTTCAAATGGTCCTACAAACCTGTTCTAGGGGTATACTATATATAGTGCAATACAGTATGATAATGTATATCAAAATATAACTTTACCTTATCAAAAACAGGCTTTAATCTTATTATTAAAGATATAATTCCAAAAATAGAAGCTCATCTTGTTTCACAGTATGTTTCTAAACCACCACCATCCAAATTCATATTTTTGATACCATCATGAAGAAGCCGGTTTGCTCTATATGACTTTTTAAAAAATTAAATTATTTGATTTGCCTGTTTCAAGACATGATTAACAGGCTGAACTTTTACTATATCACTTGCAATAAGGGTCAGCGTATAAGCAACACATCTTATATTCCAAATATGTGAATAATTAAACGTCATAATCTCACAAGCAACACGAATATTGCTCCCATTATCCGTTACACATGCTACAAATTTATTAGAGCCAACTTCTTCAATAATATTAGAAATTTTGGAGCGAGAAATTCCCCTGTTTATACTGCATCTGAAAAGTCTGATATAGTATATAAATATTCTTTTCGATCTGATGTAGAAATTATAAAATTATATAACGAATCATTTGTTGGACTTGACTAACCGTCGAGTGCTAATTTTTAAAAAATCATATATTAATAAAATACAAAAAAATTTATGTGTCAGCAAGAAAAAACCTTGAATTGGCAATTTAATTAAACGTATTATTAAATATATAATATACTTAAATTTGCCGATTCGAGGTTTTTCTTGCTGGTACTCATATAGTCTAACCCAATATAATCATTGAATTGGTAACAAAAATTTCATGTAACCCAAACCTTTCTATGTATATAGCACGAATTGACAATTATGATAGTTTTACCAAAACAAGACTATATTTAAATATTATACATATGTATTTATATATATATACCTAGTGTCAAATCTTGTTCTTTTTTAAGTAAATTATTAGTTCAAACTGTTATACGAGCAATTTCTTTGTCAAGCAACCTCTCTGCTAATGTAAGCCTTCCAGGTGATTATATCTCGGTTCAATTATATTAAAAAGATCCTGAACAAATGGATTATCGATTACAGAAAACGGAATCCTGGCACAAACAAAAGCTTTAAGTAAAGCTTTGTTAATTTTGTTATTTCTCTCATTTGATACAGGTTCAAAAGGTTTAGAGGATGGTGATACACTTTCATCATCACTATGGTCGGGATCCTTTATATTATCATTTTGTTTTGCGACTTGAACTAGCCAATGCTGTCTTATTTCATTAGGAACATTGCCTTTGCAATGCAGAGCCAAGTAGGATTCTAGGACTGAAGGTCTGCCTCGTTTCTACTTTCCTTTAATACAGTATTTACAATTTGCATTATAATGGCCTTTATCATCAGATGTTCCACAGGTAAAATAATTCCAAATATCAGATCTTGGATGTCCACCTTTATTTACTGATTTATTTTGAAAACTTATTTCCTCATTTTGGTTCTCAACGGTTTCGTTATTTTGTGATATATCAAAAGCATTTTTGTATAAATCTTCTATTACAAGGTTTTGTAAAAAATAAAAAAATAAAAAATAACGAAATGATAAATTTTATAAATATTTATAACGATATTTTTATTTTTAATCATTCGAGATGACATTCGTTCTTTATTTTTTATAAAAAAAGGTTTAGCTTATGATTTTATATAAACTAACCAACTATGAGAAATAAAACTATAAAATTTTAATTATTAGATGCAATTAGAGCCTCCGATCAGAAAAATTCTTTTTGTCAACTAAACGAGAAAACATTACTAACGGATATAGAGCAAAAATTAACATTATCACGATAACCATCACGATAATAAAAAGGGTTATTCGATCATTATGCACGTTGATTGGTTGTTAGATTTAGGATTACGATAAATATCAATGTCGACCAAAATTAGGTAGAAATGTAATTACCCCCTTTAGTCGGGTTTATGTAACATCGCTAGTTGACAAGCATACCTATGGACTTACCTAATAAATTATGAAATGGCTCCACATTCTAGAAAATTTACAGCAGAAATGTTATCTGATATAGAGAAATATGTAGTATAAGGTCGAATGGATACTAAAACCATTTATCCATTACTCAAACATGATTATCTCAATTATCCTATTTATAAAAAAGATTTATATAATGCTGTATATAAATTTCGGCTTAAAAATAATCTAGGTGATTTGGATGCATCTCAAATGCTCCAAATGTTATTAAATTGGAAAGACTTGGATCCATTATGGATCGTTAAACTGCATTTAAAACCTATGTTTAGGAGGTTAAGTAGATTGTTATAGATGTCGCCGTCACAAAGGTCTCTGTATCAAAATTTTCATAACATCATGATCTTTGATACTATATCGAACACCAATAGTTTTAGAATAATGCTTTTTGTTATGATTGTTATATACTTTCAAGTAGATTTTTACTACTATATTTAAAGAAATGAATATTAATCCTGGAGTAATATTTACTGATTCATATCCTGCCATTATTAGTGCAATTAATGAAGTATATCCTAATACAATTCATTTATTGTGTATCTTTCATATTGATATGAATCTTTGTAAAAAGCTTAAGTGTAAATTGGGGTCCCAGTTTGAAGAATTTAGGCACAAATTTTATGCTTGTCGCAACTCTTTGTATAATGAATTATTTGAATCTCGATGGTCTCATTTAATTGAACAATATCCAACCTTAGCTAAATATATGTTAGAGACACTTATATTAATAAAGAGTCATGGGGTTTACTATAGGTACGTAACCAATTTACAGCTGGCGTTCAGAGTATACAAAGGATAGAATCAATTAATAACCAGATACATACTAAAGTTTATCAGGCCACTTCATTATATAATTTATTTGTCACTATTGAGAATTGCATTAAAAGTGAAGAGCAATTTGAAGATTTTGAAATTAAACGTAGCGAATTGCCAATGGTTGGGTTCTCATCGTTGTATACTAGATTTTTCAAACACGTTAACGATATTATTAAGCAATTTTTAACACCCATAATGTTAGAAAAGCAAAGATTACAGATGAATCAATCTGTATATTATAATATTAATCAGATAGTTGAGTGGAAAAAATTGGCTATGGTAAGTTTTTTTAACTTAAATAGGCATGTACAATGTTGAATATAAGTTGCAATTCTTTTTTTTTTTTTTTAAGACTAATAGTAATAATGAAGAAGTTGTTTTGGGATCTCGGGAATAGGAACAGGATGTCCAACAAGTTCTTTTTAAATTATTAATCAAAAATGTAATTCATGCAATTTTAGAAGTCTAGAATATTTGTGCTACTGGAACAGCAGGCACTGGATATTATATAGCATTGTTAAATAATGGTACACATTTGTGTACTTGCCTGCTGTTATTAAACAAAGACCTGATTTGTCAGCATTTTTTTTGTGTTGCAACTTATTCCAACTTAGCTACTTTTTACATAACATTGATTCCATCCTACTGGTATTTAAAACCTAACATAGACCAAGAAGAGCTCTTATAACAAATATCAGTAATCCAAATATGTGGTTTATCCGAATCTGAGGATCTACCTATATCTGGCAACTTTATATTTGATCATTTACTTTCCATTCGAGCCATTTCAAGCAATTCTTGTCCAAGCAAAATTAACAAAACAACATATGCTGAATTGTTTGGATTATCTAAAAAAGTTATTGATTTAGCTATTACAAATAATGCATCACAGAAGCTATTTGATATGTTGAAATCATTTCTTTATAACATGCAGAATAAAATCGATGAAAATCAGCAAATGAATGATGGTTATATCACTATTGTTAATAATCTAAACATTACAAAACACAAAGGCTGACCTAGAGGTTGGAACCGGTTTTAATAATTCGGGTTTATCACATGAATTTTGTGATATTTTAGAATTTAATCCAATTAAAATTTAATAAATTCTAAAATATCACAAAATTCACGTAATAAACCCGAATTATTAAAACTGGTTCCAACCTCTAGCCTGACCACCAAAAAGACTAAAATCAAGCATCGAATTCTTATATTCCAAAGGTAAACAAGTGTTGAAAAATAATAATCTAGCAAAAAATGATGAAAATATAATAGAATGCAGTGATAGTAGTGGTAAGAACAATATGAAAGGCCGCATATGTGGAAAGTGCAAACAATTTGGCCATTATACTAAAACTTGTTAGGCATCACTTTGAAACAAATATTAGCTTTATGATTTAGCATTATAATTAGAAATGGAATTTATATATGAACGCTTAGTATTCTTATATTTTTCAGTATAATGTTAAGATCTTTTTCTATTGCTTGTTTTATTTACATTAGTTGAATACACTATAGGTGCAGATTTATTATTCAACTTGGTTATGGCTTATTAAAAATTATATTAATTAGTTGTCTTAATAAGTTATAACTAAGTTTTGATAAAAAGGGTGTGGCGACTTAGTGTAGTTGGTAAGTTGTTACATCCCCAAGCGGCAGGACAAGAGTTCGAATCCCACTGGCGACGAAATTCGAATTTGCGGAAATGCATTACGGTAAAACTGTATGACATATTGATCAGGTAAGCACCTACTTTACGGACTATCAACAGTACTTCGATACCAACCGTCGGTGCTCCAAACTCCCAATCCAGATGGTCCGGGAGGGACCATTGGACGTTCTCTGGTATTTTGAATGAATCCTTTTTCCTCCAGCTGATCTGGTGGCCTGGTTGGTGTAGTGCTTGCCAGACACTCGGTCCTCGTTCAGTTTTGTCTACGGTGTCCAGTTCCCCAGATGATAATCCTTTACGTAGTGCCGTCAAAGATCTGTGCTACCTCTCTACTCGGGACTTCCCAAGCGGGCTTCTGTATCCCCCGATCCCTTGGATTTATTTGGCTGCTTCACTCGGGTTTCATATAACTCATACATCATACTACATTCCACAACCTCCCAATACGAGTTGGTGAGACCAAAGTTACAGGTGCTTACCTGATCAATATGTCATACAGTTTTACCGTAATGCATTTCCGCAAATTCGAATTTCGTCGCCAGTGGGATTCGAACTCTTGTCCTGCCGCTTGGGGATGTAACAACTTACCAACTACACTAAGTCGCCACACCCTTTTTATCAAAACTTAGTTATAACTTATTAAGACAACTAATTAATATAATTTTTAATAAGCCATAACCAAGTTGAATAATAAATCTGCACCTATAGTGTATTCAACTAATGTAAATAAAACAAGCAATAGAAAAAGATCTTAACATTATACTGAAAAATATAAGAATACTAAGCGTTCATATATAAATTCCATTTCTAATTATAATGCTAAATCATAAAGCTAATATTTGTTTCAAAGTGATGCCTAACAAGTTTTAGTATAATGGCCAAATTGTTTGCACTTTCCACATATGCGGCCTTTCATATTGTTCTTACCACTACTATCACTGCATTCTATTATATTTTCATCATTTTTTGCTAGATTATTATTTTTCAACACTTGTTTACCTTTGGAATATAAGAATTCGATGCTTGATTTTAGTCTTTTTGGTGGTCAGGCTAGAGGTTGGAACCAGTTTTAATAATTCGGGTTTATTACGTGAATTTTGTGATATTTTAGAATTTATTAAATTTTAATTGGATTAAATTCTAAAATATCACAAAATTCATGTGATAAACCCGAATTATTAAAACCGGTTCCAACCTCTAGGTCAGCCTTTGTGTTTTGTAATGTTTAGATTATTAACAATAGTGATATAACCATCATTCATTTGCTGATTTTCATCGATTTTATTCTGCATGTTATAAAGAAATGATTTCAACATATCAAATAGCTTCTGTGATGCATTATTTGTAATAGCTAAATCAATAACTTTTTTAGATAATCCAAACAATTCAGCATATGTTGTTTTGTTAATTTTGCTTGGACAAGAATTGCTTGAAATGGCTCGAATGGAAAGTAAATGATCAAATATAAAGTTGCCAGATATAGGTAGATCCTCAGATTCGGATAAACCACATATTTGGATTACTGATATTTGTTATAAGAGCTCTTCTTGGTCTATGTTAGGTTTTAAATACCAGTAGGATGGAATCAATGTTATGTAAAAAGTAGCTAAGTTGGAATAAGTTGCAACACAAAAAAAATGCTGACAAATCAGGTCTTTGTTTAATAACAGCAGGCAAGTACACAAATGTGTACCATTATTTAACAATGCTATATAATATCCAGTGCCTGCTGTTCCAGTAGCACAAATATTCTAGACTTCTAAAATTGCATGAATTACATTTTTGATTAATAATTTAAAAAGAACTTGTTGGACATCCTGTTCCTATTCCCGAGATCCCAAAACAACTTCTTCATTATTACTATTAGTCTTAAAAAAAAAAAAAAAGAATTGCAACTTATATTCAACATTGTACATGCCTATTTAAGTTAAAAAAACTTACCATAGCCAATTTTTTCCACTCAACTATCTGATTAATATTATAATATACAGATTGATTCATCTGTAATCTTTGCTTTTCTAACATTATGGGTGTTAAAAATTGCTTAATAATATCGTTAACGTGTTTGAAAAATCTAGTATACAACGATGAGAACCCAACCATTGGCAATTCGCTACGTTTAATTTCAAAATCTTCAAATTGCTCTTCACTTTTAATGCAATTCTCAATAGTGACAAATAAATTATATAATGAAGTGGCCTGATAAACTTTAGTATGTATCTGGTTATTAATTGATTCTATCCTTTGTATACTCTGAACGCCAGCTGTAAATTGGTTACGTACCTATAGTAAACCCCATGACTCTTTA